ACGTAGATCGGAAGAGCAGGAAAGTACTTCCTGAGAAAAAACACTTAGTGTATTTGGGACTCGGAAAAAAAGTCATACTATAGCATGTCGTTTTTGTCAAAAAATGTCACGTTTCAGAATGTCATGAAAACGAATCAGGATGTAGTATATAGTGGGAAAAGTGTCCTGAATGTGTTTAAAGACAGCTTAGGAAGGTGCTTCTGGAAAAAAAGCACATTATGTATTTGGTCCTGATAAAAAAAAAAAAAGTCATACCTTTCCTTTCCTTGCACCGTTCCTTGCGTCCGTGCTCGGACCCTAATAAGGAAATCAATGTTTGTGTTTTTTATGGTTTACAGCACTTTAACTTTACTAAATTGCTAGAAATGTATTTTTGAGCTGTCTCCATGTCTAGCCATGGTTGTGCTGTTTCCATAGAGGTGCAGGACTTCATTCTGCAGTAAGAAATGGCCCCACAGTGAGTGAAAATGTGACGAATATCACCCAGAGGCTGCCGTGGTTTAGAGGGTTAAATGAGGTTCAAACCAAACATGGACTGCGAGTGAATCCAATTCCAAGAACTGTTTTTGGTAAAATTGATGTAACAGTTTGGCGTTAGCGTTCTGTTTGTAACGTGTCCAAAGCTGACCTACAGCGGATAATCCTGTTTCACAGGCGGCTGTTATTTTGTACGACTATTTGGGTTTGGTTGTGTTTTCATTTCGGTACGAAGGTGGCTGATGTCATGTTTGGGTTTCAGCCTCAAGGCTGAAGCAGTTGTGTCAACAGCTCTCGTATTTTCTCATGACATTCAGCTGTTCAGACGGAGTAGGCGCTTCATCTCAGACTCTCCAGTTAGTGCTCAGTTGTAACGTGAGTGTTTCTCCTGCAGGCTCACCTGGTGGCAGCGTTTGAACAGAGTTTGGGCAACATGACCATCAGACTGAAGAGTCTCACCTTGACGGCAGAGCAGAAGGTGAAAACCTCCGCCTCCTCTTGTTCTATAACAGGCTGTGCAGTTCTATGTACGTGCAAAGTGTCTGCACATGATTTGTCGGTTTGATCTTGTTGTCGTTTGGTCTTTGTAGGACTCGGAGCTGAACGAGTTGAGGAAAACCATCGAGCTGCTGAAGAAGCAGAACGCTGTCGCTCAGGCTGCCATCAATGGAGTCATCAACACACCTGAACTGGCACCTAAAGGGGAGCGGACAGGTACAGACGAACTCTACCGACACTACATGAAGCACAAAGTTCATGGTTTTAACCAGAGTTTGTATCAATATTTTAGCAGTTGACTAAAGTGATTTCCTACAAAATACTGCTATTGTCGGAATTTGTTAAATGAAAGTCTCAGCGACAGGTCTGTGGGAATTACGATTTAAAGCCACATTGTACAAAAAAGATGCCTGAATCTGTGTGAACCACAAAGTAGCTCAAATATGTAATTGATAAACAGACATTTTATTGTGAAATGAATCTCCAGTTATCAGTACAATGTTGTAGTTTGGGTCACTTTCTTTGTTGTAGGCTGAGAAAGTCTCTGAAACAGTGGATAAGAAAATGGGTTAAAACCTGAAACTCTTTTGGGTGAATTAACTCTTTGCTCTTCTTCTCAGTTCAATTGCTCAAAAAGTGTTAATTGCAGTGAGGTATAGTGGATATCAATCGAAATGCACGACTTAATCTTTCCAATGATGTTAGTTACTGGTCTTTGTGAGAAATGTAAGCAAGAAAAAAGTTAGTTGTAACCTGCAAACATCTGTGATTCACACCCGTTACTACTGTTTGAATTACTCAGGAACGTCCCATTGCTTAGGTGTTCTACCTCAATATGTTTATACTTATGCAACAAAGTCTGTTTTTTAATATGTAAATATCATAACAGAAGAAAGAGCAGAATTGGAGCTTTCTAATTATTCACATTTGCCGCCTCTGCAGGTCGGCTACAGTCTGTTCATACTTCAGTGAACAAAATAATGAGAGTTATTTCGTTTGGGCACTAAGCAGATGTTTTTCTCAATTTCCAAATCATTAATTATGTCTCACCATTGTGGTTCTGATATTTCCAGATTCCTGACAATCTCTATTACACATTTATGAACAGAAATCTGTGCTGCCATCATTTTATGGTGATGTACATGTAAAAACAGAACGGTTTCATAATATGTTTATTTCCCCTTCCCCTATTACATAAAGGCAACAACAAAACCTGTAGATGTTATCACATAAGTTGATGGAAGATCTGGATAGTCTAGACTGTTCTGTACAAAACAAGATACACCATGCATGCTTAAAAATAGCCATGATAGGGGCTTAAAAGTAAAGGCAGCGAAATATCCTGAAATATTTTACTCTAAAATTTCTGTCATGTTTTTCTGTAGCAAAAAGACGACACCGACTACTTGGAATTTAATGGGAAACATATTTGATGAAAGCCTTATACGTGACGAAGACACATTTTCTCCTCAGCTGGCAGCAATGGCAGCCCACAGCAGCAGCACCAGAACCAGCAGCCGGACCTTCGCATCAGGAGGCAGCACTCGTCCGACAGCGTCAGCAGCGTCGCCAGCGCCACCAGCCACTCCAGCGTGGGCTCCAACATGGACGCCGACGCCAAAAACAAGAAGAAGAACAAGAAGAACTGGGTAAGAGGCTGAGAAAAGACATAGAGACAGTGATTTCAACAAGCTGACCGCCAGGATTCATGTGTGTTGTCTTTGTCTCTCCATTTTTATGTGTATCGGTGTCACATGTTTGGGTTTCTCTCTTTTAGGCGTCTTTCACTGGGGAAAAGGTGAACACACGTAGGATTTTAGTAGATTTCCTCCTATTGAAAACCAAGTAAAGGTTGATTTGATGACTTGCAGATCAATAAACATTTCATATTTAAGTTAAAGTTTGGTTGTAGAATCAGCGCTTGTCCTGCAAATCACCAAATCAGTTCTTCCTGGGTAGTTTATAGTCTTAATACCATTTTTTTTCTCACTAGACATACATGTAACTATACAGCTAAACATCCTACATTTACATTCAACTGAACATTTTTTCTTTGTGTTGCTCAAAGACTTTTTTATGCACCGGAGGACAAGTCAGACATGACGATGACGACGTACGCTGCTCTTTTTCTTTTTCTTCCCATAGAGTCAAACAGTCTGTTAGCCACCTGTGGTCGTCAGTATCTTCCCCCCGATGTTGTCAGATTTTTAGGATGAGCGCTGTGGTGCCGTGTTAAAAGACTCCAGCTCATGTTTCCTGCTTTAGGTGGCAGTGATAATAAACACCCTCCTGCGTGTGTGGATGTGCGTCCAGCTGTCAGTGCTTGTGTGTGGATGAGACCCCACAGCAGGCTCCTCCGTGCAGGTGCTGCTCACGCTGTGGATAATGTGGAGCGTATGGGGGCTGCGTGTGTTTGCAGAGTATATAATGGATCATGAAAGGGCCTTCGCTTCATGCTGGCTGTGATGTAGAATTAGCAGCTGCTGCCTGGAAGTCACATGAAATCAGCTCCAGTCCCGTAGTTTAATCTGTGTCCCTCCACTAACACGCCCAAACCCATATGAACATGTGCTGTTTTGTCTCTCTGTCTTCCTCTGCTTCGCTTCATGTGGCAGGTGTATGAGGTAAGAATGGTGCTCTGTGTGAAAGAGACAAAGAAGCCTAACCCCTGCACCTTTTCTAGGGTACTAACCTCACTCCTTTTTCCTCCTCTCCTCTCCTGCTGCCACTTTAGTGCCTTTCCTCTCCTCTCCAACACTTCCTCCCCCTCAAAACCGCTCTTATGACTCTTGAGCTCGCTCTCGAAGGGAAAAATCCACCTGAAGATACTGACAGAAGACAGGAATAAGTGATAGAGACTGTGTGATGTAGAGAAATAAAAAGCTTTCAGGAAATCATTAAATGAACAGGAAGACAACAATGTTGGTCTGGGGAACGTAGGGTCGCCAAAATAAAAGACATCACTTCTTAACCCTCTGAACCCCAAACAGTTTCTGGAGTTATTTTACGTCTGTCACATTTTTTATACCCTGTGGGCTCATTTTTTATTGCAATAAAAAGTCCTGCACCTTATATGCAGTAGAGTCACAATGGTTTGAAGTAGAGAGAATTTTGAAATGTCTTTTCGTTGCCATAAATCATAAAAAAGAAAACAGCAAATTCTGTCATTCTTTGTTTATTTTAGTAATTTGAAAACATGTAAAATCAATAGGTATATTTTCCTAGTTTCTCACAGATGTGACCAGTACTCAAAAAAATTTAGATGTTTTACCAATTACTTGTTTTTTTTTTTGTTTTTTTTTTTAAATACTAGTAAAAGTAATAATAATAATAATTCTCCTATCTGCTCTGTGTAAACACTGCCTGTAGTTAAGTCCAGTTAAACTGAATAGTCCCTGAAGTTCTGTTATGTGGCTTCAGAGTTGCAACGAGGAGTGCCGGATGTTTGTTTTTTTTTACAGAATTCGGTTTGTGCAAACAGTTTATTTTTTGCTAAATTTTAAATAGAGACATAAGACAAATTGATTTTAGTATAAAATCATGATTTTAAGCTTAGACTTGGTTAATTTTCCTGACAGAACTCCACAATTAAGTACGTAGTAAAGTTAAAAATCCCACAATTCCTTCTGTTTTTACTGTTTCTTGCACTGATAAACGGTGCAATGTTGATAGTTTCTTAACTATAACTTGCCTTTCAAACCTGCCGGCAGGTTTTGGGATTGAGAGGGTTAAAACAGCAACGTCACAAACTCACGAAGCGATGATGAGAGTAGAGATGAGTATTCACAGTGGATTTTTCCTTAAAATTCAAATAATATAATTGAAGCCAATATTGATATAAGCCGTAAGTATAAATCGAGTCACGTTGAGTTGTAGCTCTAAGTCAGTCATAAGACACTCTACCCATAATTCCTCTTCTCCCTGTTACTCACTTGCACTTGGTCACAGCTGTTTTCCTCCACTTTCCTTCGGCACTCTCCTCCTCCTCTCCCTCCCAGCTGGGTTTTTATGAATCTCTCCTGCTCACCGTCTCTCCCACTCTGTTTGTTTTTAACCTGCAGCTGCGAAGCTCTTTCAAACAAGCGTTCAGCAAGAAGAAATCTCCCAAATCGGCTTCTTCTCACTCCGACATTGAGGAGATGACGGACTCATCGTTGCCGTCTTCGCCAAAACTGCCTCACAATGGCACGTCAGGCAGCGGCCACATGCTGAGGAACACACACTCCAACACTCTGTGAGTACAGAGGCTGACTGTAGAGCTGCTCGTCCTATGTTACCAAACTACAGTATGAAATGTGTTAAAACTGGATTGTGCACGTACAGATTGTCGGAGTGTTTGGACAGCGAGGCCGAGACGGTGATGCAGCTGCGCAGCGAGCTCAGGGAGAAGGAGATGAAACTGACCGACATCCGCCTGGAGGCTCTCAGCTCTGCACATCAGCTGGACCAGCTCCGGGAGGCCATGAACCGCATGCAGGTCTGCAGATATGTACATTAGAGCTCTTTTTGTTAAGAGACATCAGCTCTGAGGCACAGATTATACAAAATAACTGCTGTATTGCTTCCTGTGGGTGGAAATCTTCAGCAGCTGAGACATTTTTGATCGTGAAAAGGGATTTTTACACTCTGTAGGGTTCATTTAAGATGTTTAAAAGCCAGAACTGTTACAGCTGTTGTGGCAACACTTTCAGGGATGATGCATACATGTGCTTAGAAAACTCTGACATGACCTACATCTCGGTTGATTTTCCTTTTGTGCGTTTGTCTGCAGGTGGAGATCGAGAAGCTGAAGGCGGAGAACGACCGTCTGAAGCTGGAGAATCAGGGCAGCAGGACAGGCTCCCAGGTCTCCATCTCATCCTCGCCTCCTCCTCACACCCACAGCCAGACCCCAGCGCCCGGCCCGGGACTGTCCCAGCACAGCCTCAACCTCACCACCAGCGAGTCCACCAGCCTGGGTAAGACGCAGCATGTGACGGAGGAGCTGAATTATCACTCAAACATTATGCTCAAATATTCTGTATAAATGGAGGGGTTGTTTTGTGCAGAGGTTACATCAGTCTAATGATAAATAGAATAGTTTCCTTTCATAGATAGAGGACAGATCTGTCAGACAGACGTATTAAAGTTTTCTGCAGGATTTGATTCCGTAAAGGAAACATATTGAAGTGATTATGTTGTTCAGTGATTGTATTCGTCAATGCATAACAGAGTCAGCGGATTAAACACGAGGAATGTTAAAACTTTGATCTACTTTCCCGTCAGACATGCTGCTGGACGACACCGGCGGCGAGGGAGGGATGAGGAAGGAGGGACGCCACGTGAAGATCGTCGTCAGTCTGGACGAGGACAGAAAGTGGGGAGAGGTGAGACCTGTTTGAACAATACGAGTCAAACTGTTTGAGTTCTCGGCGTTTTGGCGGCTAAAAATAAGTTGTTTTCCCATCACAGGACGGCCGATCTCGGCATTTTCTCATCGGTTGCATCGGCGTGAGCGGGAAAACTAAGTGGGACGTCCTGGACGGAGTGGTCAGACGTCTTTTCAAGGTAACAAACAACACAGAATCAGATTCTAAACAGCGACATTTCACTTCTGTTAAGCAAAAGCATTTTCAGTTAGAGCAGCAGGCAACATGAGTGCTATCGTCTTTAGAAACTAAGTACAGGGACAAAGTCAGAGTCCTTAAAAAGCTGCTTCACTTTCTCTCTGACAGGAGTACATCACCCACGTGGACCCGGCCAGCCAGCTGGGCCTGAGCTCGGACAGCGTTCAGGGTTACAACATCGGAGAGATCCACCGACCCAGCAGCCCCAGCGCCGCCCACACGCCCGAGCTGCTGCCCTGTGGATACCTGGTGGGAGACAACACCATCAACATCCAGCTCAAAGGTACCAGAGCCTCAGCATGTCAACGCTGCCAGCAACAGTTCAGCAGTCTGTAGGAAACAGTCACATTCGATAAGCGATCAATAACTGGACCCACACGGAGGCAGCAAGAGAGAAAAAATATCCACAGGCAGCTACTTGATTGGTCAAATTTGAGAACAGTTGCATCAGAAACATGTTTTAGTTAATCCTTTGGCAAAATTATGTATCAGCCAATTGCTTTAATATTTTCATGAAGTTCTGAAGTTCGTTAATATGGACATTTAGCAGAGCACCTAAAGGTTTGCTGTCAAGTGCATCATGGAAAATGTCGTGAAGTCGAAGAGGACGAAGCAGATGATAAGATTTAAATAAATCCATAAATCAGTCTCAGTAGAAACTCATCAGTTAGTCTTTCATTTGGGATTTAACTTTGCTCATCGATAAAACATTAACTCATTTTTTGAACAAATTTGTCCTTTCAAAGGTGAAGCTTTGCCACAGTTTTAGGACTTGGTGAACTGAATTTGAATGATGTGTCTGATTTTTCCAGTCTACTTGTATTACACTGCCAGTTTAAATAAAATGTGTTTATATAGCTGCTGTATAAATACATTAAAGCATGTGCAGACACTATGGAATGGAGAGATGATGTTTCACTCGACGTGTTTATACAGAAACGAGATCGGCTGTTTAAAATTAATAATGAGGAAAAAATGTATCACATAAAATGTCACAACATCTCACTTCTTCATAGCATCTGCAGGTTCTTTTCTTAAACTGACTGTTAATTATATTCTGGTTGGACCAACACGGGAATATTGTGAAGGAATGTACAAGTCGTCCTCAAAGTTCTTGCTCAGTAGATAACGAAAACTGAGTCCTTGTACGTATTAGTTGTGATGTTAATAAAAGTTTAAGATCTTCCCACTTCACACTAACGTGCCTTGTTTATCCAGGCGTGAGCAGTGAGAACGTGGACTCTCTGGTGTTCGACACGCTGATCCCCAAGCCGATGCTGCAGCGCTACGTCTCGCTGCTGAAGGAGCACAGACGCGTCATCCTGTCGGGGCCCAGCGGCACAGGAAAGACCTACCTGGCCAATCAGCTGTCTCGACACCTGCTGCTGCTGGAGGGTCGACCTCTGACTCCGAATGCCGTCGTCACTTTCAACGTGGACCACAAGTCCAGCAAGGTAAACACACACACATTGTGTATTCTATATGCTAGCATCTGCTAAAGTTTTATTGGCTTGTAAACCAACTCTACAGATTTTCACAGATACAAAGGGTTGAATGTTGGTAGAATTACAATTTTAGCAGATTGGAAAAGGTCAAATCTGAATTCATCTGTTCTGTTTCTGATGCTAAAAGTTCTCATCAACAAAGAGTCTTGTATAGGTTTAATTTAATTCTGTTACATTTAGTGATAAATTGCAAATCCAATTCGTACTGTTAGCAAAATGTACTATCAGAATCAACACACTAACTGTTTAGTGTGTTTTAAAAGTAACACAAGTCATGCATAAAGTTCTAATGTCATGCTTTCAAAAGTCAAAGTGAGAGGAAGCCATTGTAACATGCAAGGAATGTGCAGCACATGTTGTAAGTTACTAAAGCTTTGTGAATATGAAATACAAATAAATTATACTTCAAGTGTAAAATTACAACACCAGTTATTTTATTGTAACTGAACTACATTCATTTATCTAAACATTCTGGTCAGAGCGGGTTTTGTGAAGGAAACTGTGGTTCTACGTGAATATAAAACATGAACTAACGTCTTTGTGTGTGTGTGTAGGAGCTGCGTCAGTACCTGTCGGGTTTGGCGGAGCAGTGCAGCAGCGTTGCGGGAGCAGACAGCCCTCTGGTGGTGATCCTGGACAACCTGCACCACGTCAGCAGCCTGGGAGAGATCTTCAACGGCCTCTTCAACTGCAACTACCAGCACTGGTCAGTTTACACACAAACACACGGCCATCTGCTAAACACGAAGGTTTGAATGCACGTCGGCAACATCAACAAAGACTGAAAATATACAGTTTCTTTTTAAAATATGGTGAGTAGGGCAGTTATCCAAGAAAGTTTCGCCTTCATTGGGATTTCAGACAGTGTTGCCGGGCTGATGTCACTGCTCAGGGGAAAGCCTCTGTAAATCAGTACAATTACACCTCTTTACCTCAATTAGGAACCTTTAATAGGTCTGTAAAGCTGTTGAGGGGAAACACATAACAAGCCTCAGCTGTGTTTACACGTATTGTCGACCTACAACAAGCTACCCAAACATGTTTACTTGAATAAAAACCTAAATTAAAGTTCAGGATTTCCTCTCTGTCTGTCTCGTAACAAAAAGAAACTTGTGTTATAATTCGGTGTATTCTGATCAGGTTTATCTGTGTTTTGCCCTCATTGCCAGGCTGGATGCCTCGTTTCCATTTGCGCTGCGAATACTTAATGACTTTGAACAGCTGAACTTGCTGTGCTGCATGTATGCTTTGCTCCAAACAGTGACAAACGGGAAACAACATGTTTCAGAGCGCAGTGTTGCTGTTGTCACGTTTTATCAGAAAGCACCATCAGGAGATGTACGAGATTATACCAAACAGAGAAAAACACTCTCAGCTGTTGTCCTTTTACGCAACATGTCTAGTTGAACTGTTCAGACCAAGGAGTAAATCTTATGTTCTCCTTTCAGCCCCTACATTATCGGCACCATGAGCCAAGCCACGTCATCTGCCCCCAATCTGCAGCTTCACCACAACTTCAGGTAAACTGATCTCCTCCTCCTCCCCCTCCTGGCACACTTGCATTTATCCTAACTGGTGAATCTGTAGAAACATTTTACCTTTGTTTTTGGACTCCTGATTTATCTGGACATCCTTTGATCAGATGGGTGCTGTGTGCCAACCACATGGAGCCGGTGAAAGGCTTCCTCGGTCGCTACCTGAGGAGGAAGCTGATCGAGACGGAGATCGGCAGCCGGACGCGTAACATGGAGCTGGTGAAGATCATCGACTGGGTGCCGCGGGTTTGGCATCACCTCAACCGCTTCCTGGAGACACACAGCTCCTCCGACGTCACCATCGGTAAGCGTGAGCGAGGGAAGGCGAGGTAATAAAAGTCGGCGCGGAAGTGGGTTTTCACCTGTTTGCTCTGTGACATGCAGGACCTCGCCTCTTCCTGTCGTGTCCCATGGACGTGGAGGGATCCAGGGTTTGGTTCACGGACCTGTGGAACTACTCCATCATCCCCTACATGCTGGAGGCGGTGCGGGAGGGACTGCAGGTAACAAAAACACACAGTCGGTTTGTCTGTTAGTTAAAAGCTGATGGACAGATCCGGTTCTGACCTCTTTTCCACCTCTTCAGGACCAGTTTAAAGGAAGCAGCCTAATATCGTGCACGTGATAGAAGTTTAAAAATGAGAAATGATCAGATTTGTCCTCTCAAATGACCGGGGTTATACCCATTAAGGAGAAATGGATTCAATTTGTCCCCTAATCTGTGTGTGATTAGCGTCTGATTTAATTAGGCAGCAGCTAATTACCAAAGTGCAGCATCTGTTATAGACGGAGGGGGAGCTGGTTCCTCGTCACTGAGAGAGAAACAACACAGTGAAATGGAATACTTTAAGATTGAGGCAGCACCTGAAACACTCACCTGTTTGCTTATAAAATTGAATTATGAGGTTTAGTTTATACAATTTTAACCTCAGACAGCAGATCCTTCATGTTTCAGTGTTTTAATCTGTACGTTTCTCTGCAGCTGTACGGCCGCAGGGCTGCCTGGGAGGATCCGGCTGCCTGGGTGATCGACTCCTACCCCTGGTCAGCGACGCCTCCTCCAGGCGACTGGCCACCACTGCTGCAGCTCCGCCCGGAGGACGTGGGCTTCGACGGATACTCTGCCCCCAGAGAAGGAGTCAGGAAAGAGCCGCCACAGAGCGACAGTGACGCAGACCCACTGGTGAGCTCAAACACATGAATAAGCACAAATGTAATGTATCTCTCAGTGCAATAACATTAAAGTCTGCTAACTCAGAGCCTCTTCCTTAGCTACCCAGGCTGCTGTGGAGCTTAAAGGGATAGTTTAGTTTCTTAAAAGTGTGATTGCGTGATTCAGTAGATCACAGTTAATAGAAACAGAAAAGAGAACCAGCAGGGAAGCTCAACAGTCAAATGGGTCAGCGACATAGTTTATTTTTAGTCACCTAAAAAAATCTAGATCAGTTAAAAGCGTACACAATATTTAGAATATTTACACAGCTTTACCTTGTTGTCAGACGGCCCTTTCCAACGAGGAAATTACACAAAGGTATCACTCTTCCAAGCAACCAGAGTCCATTGAAATAAACAGTCATTTTACATTGTAAAACACAAGAGTTGCTGGTCTGTTACTGCATAATTTTACTGTTTTAACATGTTAGTTTGGATTCAAACTAGTATGATAAAACACCAAAATCAAACTATAAATGCAAACAAACTAACTGATAGAGGCACTGGCAGAACAGCAACTCCTGTTTGTTAACTTTGTAAAACTGCTATTTTTGTCAATGGACTTCGGTGGTTTCGAAGAGACCACAGAGTGATAATGAAAGGAGTGTCTGACGTGAAGGTAAAGCAGTGAAAATATTCCAAGTATAGTGTGCACCTAAAGCAATGCTTTTGTTTTTTAATGTGGCTAAAATACAGTTGGTTATTTGTCTTTAAAAATGTTTTCGTCACAGAAGTTGAGAAAAGAAAAGAAGAACAGAAGAACGATCCGCACACCAAACAAGCTCCCTTTTACAATTTATTGGCGTGACGTTTCCTCAGACTACAGTCTGAGGAAGAGCATTTTGCTCGAAACGTCACGCCAATAAATTGTAAAAGGGAGCTTGTTTGGTGTGTGGATCGTTCTTGTGTTCGTCTTTTCTTTTCTCATTTTTGACATTTTGTGATCCAGCACCCAACCCAGTGGGCCTCGGGGATGTGCGTGTCTTTCCTTCATCAGACTTTCGTCACAGAAGTTTTCTATATTTTTCAAGTCAAATAAAATCCAAATCTTAACACCAGGACTGTGTTTAAACATGTGCAGCTTCTATCTCTGTTTTAAAGACTCTCGTATGTTTTTCTGCCTACAGATGAACATGCTGATGCGTCTGAAGGAGGCGGCGACGTCGTCGAGCCCGCAGAGCTACGACAGCGACTCCAACAGCAACAGCCACCAGGACGACATCCTGGACTCGTCGCTGGAGTCCACCTTGTGATGCCATAAAACGCAGCACTGGGATCTGTTTTCAAACAAGAATTTTTTTTTATAGGAACTGTTCTCACTGAGAGTATAATTTCATGCCACAAAATCCAGCCACCTTAATTTGGGTGCAGGTAACCCAAATGTTTAAAAAGAAAAAGAAGAAAAAAAAAGATGGTTAAAATTGCATTTCAGTAAACGGGCAACAAAAGTTTCTACTTCTTCTGCACTGCGCTGTTTTTTTGGTTTGTTTTTTTTTCACCGCTGTGGCCCGCGGCTCCTCTGTCGGGAGCCTGACGTCTACTTCAGACAGACAGAATAAAAGCACACAGCCTGTCCCTGTTGGTGAGGCGCCATCATTACCATCATCACCAGCCATCAGTTTACTGAAACACCAGCCAGGACTCCTCCATCCTCCCCCTGAGCCGCAGCATCACACCAGCTCGTCGGGCCAGAATCCTGCTGCAGGGAGCCGGAGCTGCCTGCAGATGGCGATACAAGCCCTCTTCTCTGGAGCATCAGTGAAACTCTGTGACCACCTGCTGAGGAAACTGGATGGGTGGATGAACGGCCAGCCGCTTCCTGCTCCTCGTCCACCTCGTGTGGCTGAAGCTGCCTGTGTGATTGCTGGAGGATAAATAGAGCCAAAGTGAATGTTAAGTTCTACAACAAATGACAACTTCTCAGAGAAACCCTGAGTTTTACATCCCAAACTACAATATGTCGAAACCAAGAGAGCATTATCAAAAAGAGTTCCTACAAGATACATGAGAGCTGGTGGGATTTCAGCTCCAAATCCACAATTTAAATATATCAAAGAAACTGGAAAACATAGTGAAAATATCCAGTTCTGTGGTGAAAACAAATCCAAATTAAGGAGACAAAGCCTCAATAGTTGGATCAGAAATACTCACCACAATCCCTGCTGAGGCTTTTTGTTTCGTTTGGAGTTGACACGTCGTATGTCAGCTTTCATCAAAGTCCTCAGTGGCTGCAACCTCCCTCACAGTTTCATTGTCTAAACACAGACAGCAGTGAGATCTACTGTAAAAACAGCTTGTCTTATTCAGTATAACATCTACAGCTACTTTACAAAATATCTTTAAAGTCCTTGCTCTCACAAAAAGGCTTCGACAGTGTTTGAGGTGAAGTCCTTGGACCGGTTTCAGAAATCAGGATTAACAAACTTCAATCAATCAACTCTGATTTATGTTAACTTTGAGTAAAGCATATGCATGAGGAGATTAAAAAAAAGCACTATCATCCTATCCCTCATTAGTGGAGTTAGAAATGTTAATGATTGTACAAAAAGAATAAGAGTTGTTTTCTTTAAACAAGCAACACGGTAACAGCAGCAAAAGAACATCAACTGGCCAGAAAATTGCTGGAAAGGTCAACATGTGAGTGTTTATTGGAAAAATAAAATAAAAAAATATTCCAAAAGTGGAATCTAAGGCACTATTGTATCCATTTACACCAGAAAAATTAATCAAATCAACGTATTAGTTCTGTGAGTCTCAAAGCTTCTCCTCTGATGAGGCTGTGACTTCAAAAACACGAAGTTTTTCTTTGCCGGAACACTACTGACAGCCTTACAGACGGTTGCATTAGAAACATGCTCAGTGTTGGCAAGGTTAAAACACACACAAAAAAATGTTGGCTGATCGACTCTAGCTACTTTTACAAAGCAAAAATCTAATTTACTAAACACCTGTAAAGTCCTAGTTGTCACAAAAAAAGGCTTTCAGGAGGAAACTGCACAAACTGGGACGTTAACATTCACCATGGCTCGATTTGTCCTTTCGACTTTGACCAGTGTTTGAAGTAACATCCTGTGTGTCGTAGCATCCTATGTAATTTCACTAATAACGCCTCTACCACTTGCTTTGACCCCTTAATAATCCTTTGAGATCTCCACGCACATTGGCCCAAGCAGGCTGTTGTAGCACAAATCCCTTTTTGGTGCTGGACTGAATCCTATCAAACAATGCCTTACTCTTTTCTAACAGACTATGTGCATTAGCAGATTCTTTTTCTTGTTTTTTTTTTTTTTTGTCTAAATGGCTGTAAACTTAACAGGGCTCCGAGTCGACTTGACCCTCCTCGAGCAGCTCGAGGAGCAGCGTCGACCTCTCATCATATCAATCACCAATGCCGTGGGATTGAAGAGACGCGAATGAGGAAGCAGAAGCTTTGGGTTTCAAATTAAGTTGTATGCATGCATGACCCACCCGGTGCTGGGAAGATGGTGTAAATATTTGGACCACTAGCGAGAAAGAAAACTATTTAGATGTGTTTTGTTTTTGTTTTGTTTTTTTTGGTGCTTGAAATCAGAACTTGTTGCAGGTTGATTGGGTGAGGGAAAGTTTAAGAAGATTTTATACCTCATCCCCATCCTTTAACTGTGCTTTTGCCACGCTTAGTGTCTGTTTTGATGATGTGATTTGTGATGAACAAGACTGTCATAACAAACATGTTGAACTAATTAAGTGAAAACTAGTGTATATGCTGCTTTGTTTATAGTGATATAATTAATCAGAGGTTAAAGTTATAAAAGGTACTTTGTTGTAAAAGCCTCCCAGCCTTGCTTTTCTGGGAAGGGCAGGCGGGCGGGCGTTCAAAGCCGGGGGTCACGTAGTCCAGCACGGCTTCCATCGCTTTCAGTGTTTCTGTCACCGATCCTATGCAACATTCATTCTGATCTCCAAATGGAAGCCAAAAGCCGAATGTGTGTTTGTCCCCCCTCTCCCTCCCTCCTCCACCCCGAGCAGTTTGCAGCACTGCCTAGAGACGTACAGCATGGAACCAGATTTGTGAAGAGTTTTGTGGCCAATGTTCTTTGTCCGTGTGTGTGTTTGATAAAAGGATCTCCTGCTACTGTCCCCGTAAGCACAAAGAGACTGATTCTGTTTGTCTGTGTTAAAGCCTGCTCTGAGAGGTGCGGATGTTGTCGAAGCATTTGTCATTTTATTACTCACAAACTCAATGAATGTTTAGCCTTCTTAGCTATGTACATTTTTTTATATGTAACATAACTTTGTAAATAGTTGATTATCTCGCAGCATTTTGATGACTTTTTCTAGCTGATTTGTTACAGTACTTGAAAAGGAGTATTTTGTGTACAGTCTCTTTACATCAGGGCAGATTGATTTGCGGTTTGCCATCGCTGGTCTGTCCAGGGCTCGGAGAATTGAATCTGATATCACTGTACTAGTCTTAAGTTATTGTGATTCAATAAAAATTAATGATTATTTATGATTGAATTTTGTCAAACAGTTATTTTTCTTCAAAACAGTCACACGCACTTCGCTTGGAATGTTTACAATTTTATTTGGTATTTGTACAAAAAGTGTGAAATAAACATATATACAGCACATAATACAACATACTTATTAAACAAATTCATATAAATTATTAACGAAATAGCTACTTTTTTTCAATAAACAACTCTATTCAATGTCAAGGTAAAAGTAACTCAATATTCTTGGCATAAAATTTCCATACAAAATTGTACAAAATACTGTACAATTGAACAAAGCTGTGCAAAACAGCAAACTGTGTCTCAGAAGCAGAATCATGTCCAGTGCGCATGCACCGATGAAGCTACAAACTTGAGTGAAACTTGTGGTTGTTTTTTCTTAACAGTGACATTTATGGGTTCTTGTTTCAGGGCGGCAGCTTCTCACAAATCTGGTCACAGTCTCATAAAAACAAATCATGGGTTATATCTCTATATTTGCTTTATAAAATAAATTAAGATACTGTTATTTCTTCTTCATCTGACTCTGAGAAGTCCGAGTGCTTACTGGAGAGAGAGGGAGAGGAGATGCTGGACCCTGCCGCTCTCATTCTCTCTCTCCCGAACTCCTCGTCCTCCTCCTCCTCTTCCTCGGCTGAGGATTTCTTGCCCACGTCGCTGAGGTCCGGGTGCGGATTGGCTTTGGTGGGCAGCGTCTGCTCGCGGCATCCACCAGAGGACAACAGCTCTCGCTCCTTTGAGTTCCTCCACTTCATCCTCCGGTTCTGAAACCAGATTTTCACCTGCAGACGAAAAGAAAGAGGTGAGTAAAAAAAAGTTTGGGGGCAGTGGAATGCGCAGCGGCATTTTTACGCGCAAATTACGCACGACCTGTTGAGCATGTAAAGCACGTCTGAACAAGTTTTACCTGCGAGTCTTTTAGGCCCAGTTTAGATGCCAGCTTCTTCCTGTCGGGCTTGCTGATGTATTTCTGTTTTTGGAACATTTTCTCCAAAGCTTTGCGCTGCACGTCAGAGAACACTGCCCTCCTCAGCATCCCTCTCCGGGGTTTCCCTCTGGCGGCCAGGGGCCACGAAAAGGTCCCGGGGATGGGAACAACGGATGAAGATGCTATAAAGGAAACACGGAAAAGAAATTAGAAGTTGTGACAAAAACAACTTTTAGCCACAAATGATAAAGTTGGAAAATCTTGCTGCTCTTTAAGTCTAAACTCGAAGCCGCTCAGACACCAAAGAGGCTCCAAGTTCTCTATGAATATAATGATTTCTCTTTAAGACTATAGTTTTCACCCGGTTATTATTGGAAGTTTTCCCCTTTTGGAACTGTGCAATACGTCTCCGTTTTGAGTGAAATGGCACGAGGTGACTAATTAGCACATTGGCCGGTCCCCAACCGCATTGGTATGGTAAAGAGGTAGCATATCCTTTAAGGAACCCTGTGAGGGCGGATAGAGGAGTTAATAAACCGTGAACGGTAATTGTGTAGTAATGAACTAACGTAGAAAAGACTCTGGACAGGCGGCGAAGGCCATATATTATCGCAACAAAGGGAGATTTACACTTTCAAACTAAACACAACTGCATACCAGAATACTGATGCCCGGAGGGGGGAGTGAAGAGTGGAGGGGAATTTTTTCTTCGTGCCCTCAAATCATTTTCATTAAATGAACACGAAAAGCTATTCAGGACGCTGGAGTTGTTTTGTTGAGGCATTCAGCTGAGCCCATGAAAAGACTCCATCTCCATTATGATTTGTCTGAATGAAAGCATGGACTAGCGACTTTATAGACTTTTCTAAGAGATTATTCTTTATCTCAACTCGTTGATTGGCCCGGCTGGAGAATAGAGGAGCGTTTAAGGCACAGAGAGAGTGCGGATTGGAGGTCAGTGGTAACCTATCCTATGGGCTGTGCAGGGGGAAGAAACTTTCCCCCCAACTGGAACATTTTGGATGCAGCTGGGATTTTTTAAAGTTTGCTTTGCTTTAAAATCTCAAGACGCAGGACACTTTCACCTCGTTGCGTACTGCTGACTGGACTTCCTCCTGACTGTAGGTGCCCTGTGGCCGCAGCAGAATCAGGAACAACGACGCACTATGTGGTCTTGTGAGAATATTGAAAACTCTCAATAGCGCCTAATAGGGAAATTAGTGCATGACTGGTTCACGCCTTTGGCCCGCCTGGTAAAAGTCACTCTCCGGGGTGTGTGGGTGGTTCGCCCGGTGGGAGCTGACCAAATTGGTCACGGTGCTGAGGGCTTTGTTGCCCGCCACAGCGGCCCGGTGGCCCCCCGGGCGCTGTGGGAAAACGCGGGGCCGGGGAAATGCCAAAACGCCCCCCAATGGGAAGCAGGGGGGACTATAACTCGCCATCCCGCCTCAAATTTAGAGCGTGACGATTTGGGATAATTGGTTAATTAGGGGGTGGGTGGGTGGGTCCGGGCAGGGGCCAGAGCCAGCGCTCCCCATTAATAAGACAGTGATTTCTTCTTTTCTGGCTGTTTGTCCCTTTCCTGCTTCTATTTCGGCTAAAATATATGACCGGGGGTGAAAGTGTTTTACATTTAAATGCAATTAGTACAGGCAGGACTCTAAAGGCTGAAGAGACGCATCTGTAAAGAAGCGGTGCGTAAAAGTTGCGCCTACCTGGTAAATAAGGCGTCCTGAATATGGGGTGAAAGGTTCCGTCAAAGCAGGGGACTGGGAAGGTCTTGGAGTGCAGACTGTGGACTGTGGGGGGTGAGGACGCTGTGGAGGAACAGCACACAGGTTAAAAACATGCCCGGATCAGGAAAACAAATGTACATTTTATGAATGTTCAGCTGTAGAATAAGTCCATCTATGTGAAGGTGAGGACACAGTAAGTCTGTCTACTCACCAGTCTTTGGTGAGGGTGCGAGGATGGCGCTCACTCCAAACTTGAGAAAACTCGGGTCCTTGCTGCTCGGCACAGACGTTTTAGGTGAGCACGATTCGCGCGTCAACGCGGTCGTGGCCAATGCGCGTTCCACGGGCGCACCGCTGAAGGACACGGTGGTGGTGGCTGTGGGCAGGGAGGCGCTGGCTGACGGAACAGTCCGGTTTATGAAGGCGGCGGCGGGGCGGCTTATCCGGAGCAGGTCCTCCACAAGGAAGCTGGAGTGGGTCGGGAAGGCGGACGGCAGCGTCTGGTGGAGCGGCAGCGCGGCGGCGGGCCGGTACAGCCCCGGGTAGAGGGCAGGAGGCGCGATGACACTTGGGATCATCATGGTCCCGGCTTTGAAAAAATTCAGTGTGAAATCTGAAATACTCCTCGTGTCAGCTGGGAGAGACTCAGTCGTGTGAATGGCTGCTAACTCCTCTGGTTTCCTCACTCAGGGGAGAGGAGTTTTATAGCAGCCGGCCCCCCCGGCCCTCCTCTCGGGGCTGACAGCCGCAACAATGGGGCTCAACAAAGTTCTCCACATGGGTCGCTTTCATGCCGCATCCCCCGGGCCGCTGATTGGCCAGAAGACGCAATTTATGATTGCATTAGACTTCATAAGCGAGCAATACACAATGTAGAGACCACAAAAGAGGCTCAGTCATCAATTTTGCATGTTGGCCACTTTCCTTTCAATTTGTTTTGTTTGGCAGAGGCAAGCGGCCTAATTAAAGAGCAATCTTTAGATTCAGGCATTATACTGGCACTTTTAATGACTTCTTAAAAGATATTTTAGTCTTCTCCTTTCAGGGTGTCCTTCTGTTATGCAGGATAAAAATGCAAAATTATTCTTTTATACTATTTTCAGTACTGCGAAATTAAGAAGATAAAAAACAGATTTGAAACTATCTTCCAACACCATCACAACAACTCGGCGTATTTATTGTTCAATCTAAATTTTTGGCTGCAGACATGAGCACCATCTCAGATGTAAATCAGTTTTAGGGTTTCATAGGATTCTCAACACTCAATCTGGCCCTCGTCATGGAATAATGTCTTAAAGGGATTTCTGCTATCAAAACGCTTTAACAGATGTGTTAAATATCAGTCTTTTTGCACAGGCTTCATTCAGTGCGCACAGCCGCAGCTCAGTGCGCACAGGAGAAGTGTGCGGCCTGAGCCGTGCGCTCCTGATCCTGTTAACCATGAACTAACTGTCACCCTCAGCTGCGGAGGAGGCGCCCCTCGGCCTTTCTCTCCTTCCCTTCTCTCGCCTTCAAAAAAAGCCCAGTGGAATAAAAAAAAAAAAAAAAAGAAAAGAAAAAGCTTTATTTCTAAAGACGGTTTTGTTCTGCTATTTTAACCGGCTGAATAAAAGTGCATCTGTGATTTGATTTAAAACGCATTCATATGAGCGGACACTGAGACCCCCATATAAAACTCTTATTAAAGCGACTTGGAGCCTGATCGTCGTGTTCTGTCAGCTTTCCTCCCTGAAAACCCGTTAAAGCAGAGCAATCAGGCGAAAATGCATCGCAGGGCCAAAGAGGAGGGAAAAAAAGCCTAATTGTTGGCAGTTTGAAACCCAATTAAAACAAGAAATACAATGAAAACGAATTAGAAAAATGCGATTTGGATTTAAAACCATTCACAAGCAGAACAATTTAATTATTTGGCTTCATTAATCCATATTTTAATTCTTCAAAAGTAATTTTTTTTTCCTTTGGAGTTACATTTTTTAAAATAATTATACAGTTTAAGTCTAAACTGTGGCCTACAATCAAGTTATTTTTTCTACATTAAATTTAAACTTTTTCACATAACGAAAAAAGACACTCATTTTAAGCAGGAGTTTGTGCGCAATTATTTTTTGTCTTCTCGCAATATTTAAAAACCACAAAAAAAAATATTCAGTGCAATGTTGTTTTAATAACTTTAAACGTTTTGTTTATAAAACTAAGGAAAACAGGCTCGATGTTAATTAGAAGTGTGCGCAAACAAACTTTTACATAATTAAAAAGAGCCATTTAAAGCTCCACTGAGCGACATTTGCGGCTGCACCAGCCAGTCACTTTGCATCATTTAGGATCAGCGCAAATACTGATAAGTAGTTCTACATCAATCTAATATAAACTGGCCACAATCCGATAATTAAAAGGGAACGCCTCCGTGAAATGATCCTTTACAGAGAGTCAACGCTTATCAGAGGTGTCTGCTTTATGAGCGCAGGACGCACAAACAGGCGTTAACACGGCGCTCCGTCCCCGCAGCTACACCTCCAATAAGTAACGAGACCTTCAAAGCTTTTTTATGAGCCCATATTCCTTTACTTGGCGGCCCGAAATCCCCCTTTTGTGAGCGGTAAGCAGATGGTTAGCAGGAAGCATAGGCTGCTCTGGCTGACCGAGACTAATTTCTACGAGCTTTGCAAGCTTGCCACGTCCCCGCTCCTTTACCAGGCCGAGTAAAAACAGCTGGCTGCGGCTGAATTAAAGCCATTAAAAGCACATCTCTGAAATATTGCCACCAACAACACACACACACACACCCTCTCAGAGCGCACTATCCCATCACTTTCATAGAATTATCCTGCAGGGTAAAGTTTACATAAATTACTATTAGTGTGGCAGTGGTGCGTAATTGTGCCTTTGCAATGTTAAGTTCCATTAAATATAATTGCATTTTTAGCGTTTTATGCACATAAAATATTAATATTGGCAATCTCTCATTGTGTTTATGTTCACTTATGGTATGTTAATATCCCCACAGGGATTAACTACTGATGTTTATCGCTGTATAATATCCCTACAGGGAGCTTATTAATCACTTATGATTTAATAACTTTATAGGATTACCAGCAGAGGACTTGCACTTGCAGGACACCAATATTCCGAAATGAATTCATTGTTTTCTAGATATTATTTGTTCGGATTTGGTGCAAATAAAACCATTTATTAGAGAAATTTCTACTTTTCTCGACAGGGCCAAACCAGTTTACCAAATAGATGAACTTAACCATTGTCTTGGCTCTCTTTCTGCTTCGTTAAGTGAAAGGGGCTGAGTAAATATGTTACCCATGCATGAGAGCCTCTGTATGGGCCGTGCCATTGTGTGGCGGGTCCGACAGGTGGTTGACTGTTTATTATTCCCTCATTATTTATCAGTGACGTGGGCGCATCGAGGAACGGGAACTCCCCCGTCCTTTCACTTCACCGGGATGAACAGATTGTGCTGACTGGTTGCAGCCTCGTATATGACACCGGTCACCAGTCCATCCATCTCGGCCCCGCATTCAGCCAAACTCCTGCAGGGTTTGGTTAATGAAAACGCTTTATTTCAGTTAACAAATCCCCTCTGGAGGATTTTATGGCCCTTTTCAGTTGCAGTGTTGCCAAATTCAACCAGGCAAAAGGAAAAAAAAAACCTTTTACAGTTCAGGATATCATTAAATCCTTTCGTCAGAGATTTTAACGATTTAAAATTTTAAAATATTATGGTCAATTAATGGAGATTTTTCTCTGGATAAACCAACTATGGAGTAAAATTATTTAATTTGGGGCATTTTGCATATTTCATATATCACTACACTTATTTTAAAGCCATCTTGATCACATATTGGGATATTACATGCAACATATTCACAGATAAAATCATCCAAAAGCTCATTAAGTAGTTAAAATCACCCCTAAAAGTTACTTAAAATGCTGCTTCTATATTCATGCATAATTGAAAATAAGTCAGAAAATAGCATTTCCATAGAAAAACACTGTTTTGTTATCATTTTGCTGTTTATATCTAATTTTGGCCTTAATTCTTCTTACAGTAGATCTCTGAGTGCTGTTTTAATAAAGCTTTTTTGTCCTCCCTCTGCAATAATGCTTTTTTTTTTTTAACTAAAGCTTCTGAATACTTCTGCCACCTCTGCAGATTATTCGTCAGACTCTTCCAGACTTTAACCCATCACGCCTCATAATGTCACAGTTTGTGCAGGTTCCACATGAAGCTGAAGTGAGTTCTTGCTCCTGCCATGTGAAGTTAACCAAACATCTATTTCAAAGGATTCAGTTTGCGACCGGGCTTCACCTCAGCAGCGGCTCCCACTTGGGGTGTTTTGGCCGCGGCTTCACCTCAGCTCTCTGCAGCACCGAAGGTCCCTGCAGCATCTGGTGCAGGCGGCGCAAAAGCCCTGCTCAACACTGAGCGAATTAGCAATGCCACAAGATTCAGAAGAACAGTGACAAGCATTAAATCGATATTAACTTTGTATTAAACATGGGCCCCTCCCTCTTCCCCAAATGGACTGGAGCCATATCAGTGCACAAAGCGCTCTGTATGAACTCTGGCTGCACCTGTTCCCTCTCACTTGGTCATGGGAGTTCAACTTCTTAGTTTCACCCCAGGCTCTTTTTTGTTTGCTTCACCCCACACTGAATTCTTTCAGTTGGGCTTTTGTCATCGTTTTTTGATCTTGCCTTCACCCCCCGAGTTTTACAACTCATCAAATCGCATCATTGAGAACATGCATTTCACATTTCCACTTCCAGTAACTGTCCAAAACTCATAAGTTCCACTTTCAGCCGCTCAGAGTTTCGGAGCAGAGTTGCTCTTTTTGGTCGAGACAGGGCCTCTTGCCTCCCCTTTCTGCTGTTCATTTATTAGCAGTTGTCAGTATGGATGTTGAGTGGTGTCCTAATCCTCTTAAAGCGCATGTTGGTACAGTTTGCATATCATTTTCTGATCTTGGAGAAAGGCCACAACCCTCTCTATTCACAGGGATTCCCTGTCCTCTTTCAGTGCAGCCACAGCCAACAGCATTAGCATAATCTGACAACCAATACCATTGTCCGTGACCTTGTATGCAAAGTTAATTGCTCATTAATACCAGACAAAACAGAGGGGTGCAGAGGAAGCACAGTGCTACTTTAAATCCTTGTTTTAGAAAGAGCCGGCAGGCAGGTGGAACATCCTCCACCGGGTCATTAAGCTCTACCTGAAATTATTAGAATTCATTCAGATCTGAATATTTTAACTCCAGTTTCAGACAAAACCATCTGCTGCTCAAATATATTCCTAATCAGGTGTCTAAGTAGTTGTTGTTTAACCAACCTCTAGTTTTAACAATAATCTGGCACTGATATTTTAAAAAGTACACACACACAGACACACACACACACGCACACAAAGAGCTGCACACACTCCCTCAAAAGTATATACAATTTGTCACAGTGGCTCAGCGTTAATCAATTGCAAATGTATCTCTCTGCAAGTTTAATCTCATCTCTACATTAGTTTCACGGATTCGGGGCGATTTGCAAGAGGAGCCTCCACTCCGCCGCCCCCCCTGAG